CATAAACTAGACTGTTAACCCAGTCAGTAGGGCAGTCTACTTTCTCAATGACATCAAGATCTGTCATTCGTTCCAGTTCTCTCTTCAAAGGAATTTTGAGTGATTCTGGGACGCGTCGTGGAGGATGAATAACTGGTTCTGCATCAGCTCGCAACTCAATGTGGTAGTCACCTGGAAATAACCCTACTCCTTGAAAACATTTTGCAAATTGATCTAACATATCCTGTTTTGGATCTCCTGTCTTGCTACCAAATGATGAGCATTTTTTATCGCACCTTGTGTCCGTATGAAGTTCTGAAATGTCACTAGTTTTATGACATGTGTTGCAATGAGAATGTTCACAGTTCAGTTTCACAATCCCAAGGTCAATGCATGTACGTAGTCCAAGCATTGTATTTCCGTTGGCTTCTGTCACATGGAATTCACACTTTGATGACTTATCCCTATGGCTACAGTTCAATTCACATGTTCCCAACTGCTTGATGGGATAACCTCCATAAGCTTTCAGCTTTATGTTTGTCGGTTTGAGATGCTTCTCATAGTCAGATTTAGAGTGTTGCTCTGGTACAAATTCCTTGTAGACTCTGAGAGGAATTACATTTGACTGAGCACCAGTGTCAATTTTACACCGGACTGTATGACTGATGTCATTGAATGTAATGATAACGTTCGCAAAAGCTTGATCCCTTGGACCATCATTGTAGATTGATTCAATGATTATACTGTCACAAAATTGTTCATCTGTATCACATTTCTCATGTTCAATGTCTATAGTGTCCAACACAAAATCCTTGAAATCGTCTGCCATGTCATTCACATTTGTGTCTCCATTGTCATTGTTTGTCAGCTCATGCACCTTCTTATTGTCTCTGGTTTGAACTTGTCTTCTGCGTAAATGTGATCGTCCTCTTGACTGAGATCTTGTGTTTGTTGTCTTTCGTCCTCGTTCGTTACTGTCTGTGTTAAGCTTTTGCTTGGAAATGCACATACTGGCCCAGTGATCCTGTTTTTTACAGAAAGAACATGTCGAGCCTTGTGCTGGACATTTAGCATCACGTCCATGATCTAGTCCACAATTCCAACATTGTCCCGTTTTGAAAGGAGCTTTCTTGTAACGTGTGTAGAACTGTCTATTGTCCTTTTGTTCACTGTTCTTTGTCACTGTGTGAACAGTTTTGGTGTCTTGAATGTCGTTCATTTGAGTCCTTGTTGCTTCGTACGTTCGTACAATTGTCATGGCTTGATCTAAGGTAAGAGTGTTGTCTTTGGCAATTAGTTTTCGTTGAATGCTTTCATTATTCACTCCTGCAATGAGAGTGTCAAGCAACTGATCGTTTGTGTCTGTGTACTCACATTCGGCTGCAATGATTTTCGCCCTGGTGATAAATGCATCCACTGTCTCTGATGATTCTTGTTTGAGAGCTCTGAGCTGAAATCTAGCTACTCTGAAGTTTGATTTGGGTTTCACATATCTTTCGAATTTAGTCCAATGCACATCTAACTTCCCTTTATCTTCCTCCGAAAGATTCCATCCTTCTCGAATATCCATACCTTCTTCACCAATCCATAGCATGAGATATTGAATTTTGACAACTTCTGTTTTGTCAGCCAATGGTCCATCAAAAATAAATTGACATGTTTGTTTAAATTTACGAAATGCTTCTGGTAAATTACTGGATTTTAAGTCTAAACTCGGAATTGGAATACCTGTGAGTTCTGCCATGATTTACAAATTATGTCCCGTATGCTTCACCATACATCCGATGTCGCCAGCGAGAGAAAGTTGAATTTCACGATTCTCGTCTCTCAAGATGAGGAATCGGCTGAGTTAATGTCACTTGTAATGCCAATGATCACTTTTCGATCATCAAACACGTAGGAAGCGTCGTGAAAGCTTGAGAATGTCCGTTATCGCTTTCTGTCATTTTTTACACACACCACGTGAAAGTCCATTCACCCGGCGCGGGCAGTGCACTTTATATTGTCCTGAAAGTGGGTTGTCGTCCAGTCCTAACGAATGCGTGTGGCTTCGCTTGTTCTGACACCATGTTATGCTTGGTCCTTGGTCGAAAAGATGACGTGAATGTCCATTAAACTTAAAAGTTTAATCTTCAAGATCAAGTTACATTCGCCATGTCTTGGCGCACTGTTTACCAAGGGAGATAACTCTCAGTTGACTAAAAGTATCACCGTAAAGTAAACGAAACGAAATTAAATCACGTAATGTGACATTACATACCGATACGGCCTTCATCTGGAGCCCTGTGATGTGTTACCACAGTCCTGGCTAGCAGATGCTTTTGGTTAATCCTCATCGACGCATTGATGGTCAAGGTAGTCTGTCTCTGAACTAGGTTGTTGTCCAGTCCACAAAATCATTTCAGTTATGTAAAACGCCATAACAAGGTAAATCTTGATATTTCTCAGGTTCTGAATCTACCATCCCACTGGGGCTCCTTTTGAATTTAAATGCAGTATTTGTTCTATCAAATTTATATATTTTTTCATAGACTACTCACTAGACCAGAGTCAAGGTGCAACTGCCTCTCTCAACAGTATATCAACAGTCATTAAAAGTCATTTATACAACACAGAATATCTGTGGGCACACGCCTCTCTCAACAGTATATCACATTCACAAGTCATTACACAAGAAGAATATCTGCATTATCATTAAAAGGCATTTACACAACACAGAATATCTGTGGGCACACGCCTCTCTCAACAGTATATCACAAGTTATTTACACAAGAAGAATATCTGCATTATCATTAAAAGGCATTTACACAACACAGAATATCTGTGGGCACACGCCTCTCTCAACAGTATATCACAAGTTATTTACACAAGAAGAATATCTGCATTATCATTAAAAGGCATTTACACAACACAGAATATCTGTGGGCACACGCCTCTCTCAACAGTATATCACAAGTTATTTACACAAGAAGAATATCTGCATTATCATTAAAAGGCATTTACACAACACAGAATATCTGTGGGCACACGCCTCTCTCAACAGTATATCACAAGTTATTTACACAAGAAGAATATCTGCATTATCATTAAAAGGCATTTACACAACACAGAATATCTGTGGGCACACGCCTCTCTCAACAGTATATCACAAGTTATTTACACAAGAAGAATATCTGCATTATCATTAAAAGGCATTTACACAACACAGAATATCTGTGGGCACACACCTCTCAACAGTATATCACAAGTTATTTACACAGTATAACAAGTTATTTACACAAGAAGAATATCTGCATTATCATTAAAAGGCATTTACACAACACAGAATATCTGTGGGCACACGCCTCTCTCAACAGTATATCACAAGTTATTTACAAAGAAGAATATCTGCATTATCATTAAAAGGCATTTACACAACACAGAATATCTGTGGGCACATACCTCTCTCAACAGTATATCACAAGTTATTTACACAAGAAGAATATCTGCATTATCATTCAGTTTGCTGATTTACATTTTTTCTAAAGCTGAGCCGAATAACTGACCATCAGTGCCTGTCATTATTTATATGAAAAGAAAACATGCCTTCTTGATAATGCCAGCGATATTATTAATAATCGTTGTGTTGGTTTAGGGTTTCGATTTACATGTTAGGCATCCCATTTCAGTATGCAGACCCTTGTCAAATCCTACACAAGTCCCTCTGAGCACTCAAACTTGCATGCCAGTCAATATTATGCTGTGTTTAGTAAGGATGTTTTCCACAGCAGACATGGGGCAGTGGCGCGGCCAAGTGATAAAAGCGTTCACTCGTCATGCTGAAGACCTGGGGCTCCTTTCACGAAGCAACCTTTACTAAGGTTAACCTTAACTCCCATTCTTTAACATTGCACTAAGGTTACCTTAGTGACTTACGATCACCTTAGTGCTTTGTGAAAGGAGGCCCTGGGTTTGTTTCTCCACATGGGTACAATGTGTGAAGCCGCCATTACTGGTGTCCCTGTCAAAGATATTGCTGGCATATTGCTAAAGGGGCATAAAACTTTTACAAAAATGTTTGGGTTTAATAGATGTTTGAACAAAGTTTGTTCTCCAATATGTGGGGATATAATTAAGGTGTCGTGTGTGGACTTAAATATTCCCCCCCCCCTCTCCCCAAAGTCACTTATCTAAGAAGCCAAGGTACTTGTTACAGTGAAGACAGAAAGAGACTCTATGTGATTCTGGTAACTAAAATATTCACTTAGTGTTCCAGATAAGAAAAGGTAATCTATCTCACGATCTGTCAAACTGTATGTTGTGTGTACACATTCCATAGAAAATTTGTATTACATTAATTTACAAATGTAAATGTTACGATCAATATCTTATTAACTTTCACCATACCTCTTATCTTGAATACTAATCAATGTATCTAAGTATCGCTTTCACCGTAACGTAGATTACTTAGAGCTCTACATTTTTGGAAACTCGAAGCATTACTTTGAGTCGAAAAAAAGTATGTTTAAAACAAAGATTATGCGACAACTCTTGTTGTATATTATGTACCTAATACTCAACTCTGAAATAATCTTATAGTTAATGAATATATTTTAACTTTAGTTTCCCACTTTTGATATGGGCAAATGCGCGCCCATTTTTTTAGAATGAGTGTGCCATAAAATTAAAAATGGAACAAAATAATTATTATTAAAGAAACAGGCTTAACTATAACTAGGTGCTTATCCATACTTAAATTTCAGTTTCCATATATCATCCTCCTGAATCAGGGGCAGGAATACACCCCAACAGTTATTACTTCATGTATTTTTGTATCCACCTGTAGACATGGTCACAGAAAGAGCATTTCCTGAACAGAAATTACGACTGTTTTTGCTCATTTTTGACTGAGAAGAATCACACGTTACTGTATGAAATGATTTAACTGACTACGTTCATGTTACCATAAAACTATAGATCTATGTAGCTATGGTAATGCACATGACTTAACTTGCCACAAGGCGTCAAGATCGACATCTCACCTTCGTCAACATCGATCGTGGATGTCGCTGTGTTTGTGAGGAGAATCACAAGTACCAGTGTTCCGAGCTGTCGTCCACATGTGCTCCAAGTCATCTTCCTAGTTTCTGGACACATCGTCTTATTAGATCTGACACCCAAGTTTTGAAATGAAACAACTCGCAATTCCGGGTTCGACTTATCGTACACGCTCCCAAGTCGCCAACTGGTAGAATCACTCGCTCAGGATGTCACATCGCTTTCACTTAATCGTTTCTTCGTAAAGCACGACATGGGATCCACGTGCCGCGTGTCGACAACATATGTGGGGCTAATCCACGCAAAGCCTATCTGCAGAACGAAATAATAATTTCCGTCCCGATCGATAAACATTTGCCCAATGTCAATGTCGCCGCGCATGCGTGTTACAGTCGAACGTGTTACCCCTCAAAAAGGAGGGTTTAGACAGCTGGCGTCCCAGGTTTAAAGTATGGGAACAGCCTGCGATGCCCGCGATTGATTATGTAACTTTAATTTACCAGTTAGCTGTTTAAGTGGACGTTAACTGTGGTTCAGCTGATAAACAATGTAATGACGATAGTTATATGGAACAGTCGAATCGATTCTTATCTTGCCCTCCAAACATCCTTTATCAACTGTTTTCAGAAATGTACAGGTGCGTGGCTGGTAAAGTAAATGTAGAATATTATCTTATCTTTTTAACCAGGACGTCTTTAAGCCACTTAACTTTTGTAAACGATAAATATACATTAACGCAACACGCAACTGTCTATATACATATACAAATAGTGAAGCCTGGATCAGACAATCAAGTGACTGGCATCGTCAGCATCTAAACAGGCATATTAGATATAATTATTCTGAAGAGAATTGTATCAATTAATAAGAATATTTGGGTTGAGTTGTTTGAAGTATCATTGTTAAACCAGGGAGACTCTATAAGGGGGAGTGGTCACTCCTCGGAAAGCTCCTAAGCTATGCCTCGGCTCGTCACGTGACCAGTGCAGCCAATATGGCGGCAGCGTAGTTTTTAAGATTGAGCCCGGTTTATTTTCAACAGCTGATTACATACGCTGAGTGTTGTGACAACTGAAAACCTACATGTAGAAGATAAGTTACCTATTCTGTCACTTCATTTTAAGTCAAATACTTGTTATTAGTGTCAGTATAAGTACAGTAGCTTTGTAGTAAAGTTTCAAGTGGGCATGTTGTAGCTCACTGGCTTCAATTCTCAGTACACAGCGAAGAAAGACTAACTTATATCGCTAAAAACTTCTTTCACATATTCGTTTAATTTTTAGAAGGGAAATATACCTTTTGTTAAAAGGTGTTTGCAAGTAATAGTGATATTTTTATAACTAAAAAAAAATTGTTAGGGTGTATTTGAGGTGTGTGAAAATATGACATATCGCCGATCTGCCATTGAAATACTACAGGGCGTTGTTTGAGTGTTTCTAGTTAGTGTTCAAAAACATCTTTCACATACACCTTCAATTTTTATGAGGGGAATATACCATCAGGTGAAAGGTGTTTGCAAGTAATAGTAATAGTTTTATAATTTAAAAGAAAAATGTTAGTGTGTATTTGAGGTGTGTGAAAAATATGACATATCGCCGATCTGCCATTGAAATACTACAGGGCGTTGTTTGAGTGTTTCTAGTTAGTGTTCAAAAACATCTTTCACATACACCTTCAATTTTTATGAGGGGAATATACCATCAGGTGAAAGGTGTTTGCAAGTAATAGTAATAGTTTTATAATTTTAAAAAAAATGTTAGTGTGTATTTGAGGTGTGTGAAAAATATGACATATCGCCGATCTGCCATTGAAATACTACAGGGCGTTGTTTGAGTGTTTCTAGTTAGTGTTCTAAAACATCTTTCACATACACCTTTAATTTTTATGAGGGGAATATACCATCAGGTGAAAGTTTTTTGCAAGTAATAGTGATAGTTTTATTTTTTTTAGTGTGTATTTGAGGTGTGTGAAAAATATGACATATCGCCGATCTGTTGTAGAGTATCCCTGGTTAAACGATAAATAGACATATTTTCGCTCCTTTTGTTGTTAAAGCCACACGAAGCAATTTTCTTCAGGTATATCGCGACTGTCTTTATGACAAGTGAATCCTGGATCAGAAAATTCAGAGAGTTTGGCATGGGGTGCATATAAACAGACGTATTACATATAATTATTCTTACTGAATAATTATTCTATCACCTAAAAAGTATTTTTGGGTTGAAGTGTTTGGAGGTGTTATTTCACTGGAAGGGGATAGTGCCGTCGTACACTGGTTGATCTGTATTGCTGTATTTACAGGTTAGTTTACATGTGAGATGTTCACATCATGGATACGACAAACGAAAAAAAATGCATGACACATCACAAGCACTCTTGTACTGACTGACTGAGTTTGGTTTTACGCCGCTTTTAGCAATATTCCAGCAATATCACGGCGGGGACACCAGAAATGGGCTTCACTCATTGTACCCATGTGGGGATTCGAACCCGGGTCTTCGGCGTGACGAGCCAACGCTTTAACCACTAGACTACCCCACCGCCCCAGCACTCTTGTAAGGGAAAACGGTAAAAATATGCTCAGATTTGTGAACTTTTTATCCATGGACTATCTAAAGGTACAATGTGTTAGGGTTATAAAATGTGAACATCTGTCACTGTTTGATTGCACATGCCTGTAGGAGCAATGCCGAAGGCCATCAATTATTGTTATTAATATCATGTGTCATGAGCTGACGGCCATGTGTGTGCTGAATTCAGGCTTAGATCTGACGTCGATATATTTGACTTTGTAACCAGCTGTAGTACAACATCGACAACTTGAAATCGAACTCATGTTGTGGCCCTGGCAAATATTTAGTTAGTAACACCATTTACTGATTGTTGGACATTTATTCGCACACACCTGTAGTCATTATAGATTTACGGTGATCCTTACCAGTCGTCTTGCCATTTACGGCCAATTGAATCTGTTCCGGCAGATATGTATGATCCTCAGGGAGTTGAGATTGATAATAAGATGTTCCGTTTGAGATTGACATCCAATGGGAAAAACAAAGCGCCTTTGAGTAGCAGATGGATACTGGCGCTAAACTTTAGCATAATAACGATAATCAACACTGATAACCTTAAAGTTGTGTATGTATAGGATGAAGTGGGAATATACACAGCATGCATCACATACGAGATACAGTTTCTGAATGAGTTCAACTCGTACAAATATACACATGGTTCATTTGATATCATTGTCATATCAGTGTCAATACATTGCTGGAAAACCTTTAGTTACATGTGTAGTTACAGTAAGAGAATAAACAATTAGTTTCATCATAGGGACTATTAATTATTACTTTATACAGTGAGTGAAAACTTTAGTTTTAGTCTTCTGTTACTATTTGTTTAGCCAGCGTGGGAACGTTTTTAGTTATTGTATGCAAACACACTTTAGTTACTGCAGCTTGGGACAATGTGGAAAGAGTTTTTTCTTATATGTCAGAAACGCTCTCGCGAACAACGCGTGTCACCAATGCTATTATTTGCCCTCATACCTAGTGGTGGTCCGATTACTTGCAATAATCGGAGATTGGTCGCAGTGACAAAACGACCAAGCAATCGATCATGTTTTCTCATAATCGAACACAAACAATTCTGCAAAACTTGTTTGCATTAACAATATTTTTCACAAGATTGGTTTCGACTGTTACATTGTATAAGCATTACAAGCTCGTTCCAAGTCATGATTGAATTTATCTTAAAGAGTCCAGAAAATATATGTTCCTAACATACTAGGCATCTTTTAAAAATAGGGCGGTGGGGTAGCCCAGTGGTTAAAGTGTTCGCTCGTCACGCTTAAGAATGTGCGAAGCCCACAAGGTGCGAAGCCCATTTCTGGTGTCCTCCGCCGTGATATTGCTGGAATATTGCTGAAAGCGGCGTAAAACCAAACCCACCCACTCCATATTAAAATGTGAAGTTTGCAATTGCATTTTGTGCAATTTGCACCACACCCCTCCTTTAAAATGAACCCTTTTTTCATTCTTTTTGTGTGCACTAAGAAACAATACAGGAAAATTTGATAAATGACGCTAACCAACTATTTTTGATGATTGATCGGTTGTAATGAACCAATCATCAATTACGAGATTTTAACCAATTCCCAACACTATGAATTGCCACTTGAATGTAAACGTCCAGTCCAAGCCTCAAGTCTGTCGTGGTTTTTTTCCTAGTGTGTTATAGTATGACCAGAAATTATTGAGTAATACATGTATGTTTAATTGGATTTCTAGTATAAACAACCTTGACCAGCTATCAAGTGCTTGGTTTCATTCAAGAGAGAAACACCGTTAATCCTTTTTCATTAGTTTGTGAAGAGTTACCCCCCTTTGTTTACTTGCTAGCAGACGACATTTTCAGTGATCCTCAGTATGGATGATTTAGAGAAGAGGAAGTTGATTTAAGAGTATTATAGCAAGGACATCAGATCAGCTAAAGTGATTTCAAGTAGAACAGGCATCCCTTTGTCCACTGTTTATCGTGTTTGAAAAGTATTGCAAATGGATATAGCGTTGAGCACCAGGGAGGCGCAGGTAGGCCCAGAAAATTGACTGTCGGTGACAGGATGCGGCTTGGTATTCTTGTTTCTAAAAACAAACGAAGGTGTTTAGAAAACTTAAGGCTGGATATGATTGGTAGAGGAACTGTGGCTGTCTGTAAGGAGACAATTAGAACTGAGCTGCATGCAGTGGGTTGGCAGAAAAGTCGAGGAATTCCATCCCCGATCATGAAACCTGAATAAAAGGAGCGAAGGTTGAACTGGTGCCTACAGCATAGAAATTTTAACTGGGACAATGTGATTTTCTCAGATGAAAGTTCTGTGTGGCTGTTTCCTAATACACTCGAATTCTGGACCAAACAAACTGAAAAACCTTTGTATCAGCGCCCAAAGTACAGTCCGAAATTTAACGACGTGTGGGGTGGCATATCTGTGTTAGGGGCAACGCCCCCCCCCCCCCCCTCTGTGTATTTGAAGGGAATATGAACAGTGAGCGGTACACAGATATTTTCGAAGGACTTAACTTCCATCTGCTCACGTGATCTATGGAAATTGTTTGATTTTCCAGCAGGACAACGACCCAAAACATCGTTCAAAGCATTCACAGGCCTGGTTTCGGACCCAAAATATGACATTATTATATTGGCCAAGCTATATCCCTGACCTAAATCCAATAGAAAATGTCTGGGGACTTATGAAGGAAAGTTACAATAAGAAAAATCTGACAAATATTGCTGAAATGAAAGAAGAGGTGGTCCGATAGTTTGACAGCATGGACCACGACTTCCTAACTTCTTTGATCAGTAGTATGCCC